TCAGCTGCACAATGCGATTCCAAGTGGATCAAGCCTACTGGGTCACAAGAATATCCAAATGCTAAAGAACTTTGCGAGGCAAACCTTACTATTTAGATTTTTGAAAGCTTTGAAAAGTCATAACTTTTTTTCTATTATAGATAGGAAGTTGAAATTTTCAGCGATTCTTATTGTAATGAAGACGACATTTTTTTTTGCATGACAAAAAAGTGACAATTATTCACTCAGTGAAACTTCTGTAGGAATATCGGGTGAAGTTGGTAGTACTAACTTGATATATCAAGCTAGCACTACCAGAAGGTATTTAGGAAAAAAAGAAAAACACGACAAATTATTCACTTAATAAAACTTCTGTAGGAATATCGGGTGACGGAGAGTACACACAAGTGTGTCAGAATGCATTTATTATACATAGTTAGTTTGTTGATGTGCCTACCTAACAAGAAAAATTAACGAAATATTGACACGACTGCAAGCGGCACTGCAAGCAGATTATAATTTGTTAAATCTGATAACGGTAGGCCTTTTGTGTGGTTTTCTTGAAGAAGTTTGTAAAAAGTCTGTATGTGTATAGGAATATGAGGCTAATGAAAGTGTTGGGTCACTCTGTAAGGGGTAAGGGATTAAAATTTGGTGGGTTTTATTTTATTTTATTTTTTTATTTTATTTATTTATTTATTCACTGTACAACCCCATTTATACAGGGTGTATCAGGTTTGACTACAAAAATTTCAACACGTGAAAATATGGCCCATTTTGAACAAAAAAAGTTTATACAACATGGGGTCCAAACTCAACCATTTTTAAGAAAAAGGCCGTTGAAGTTTTCACATTTTTTGACGAATATTTCAAAGATAAAGAAAATTTTAATCATTATGAGATGTAAAAAAATTTAGTTTATTCAATTGTTAAGTAATTATGCATTTTTAATCAACAACAATAACAAAAAATTAAAAAAACAACCTAAAAATTTCAGTTGTAAATCGGTATCTAAACATCTGGCAACATAGTACAATAAAGAATAGGTGGTTGAACGTTGAACCTTGGTTGAACTGAATCATTGATTCTTGATTCGTCTTGTCTAGTTGGGAAACGCGCGTAATTCAAATTCATTCTTTTTTGAAAATAAAATGTTTACAAACGTCGAATATGCAGATACTTGTTTAGGCAGAATCGTTGCAAAATGCTCATTTAGCCACCAGAATTTACAGGAAAACTAGGGAAAGATTTCCCAAAAGAAAAGCACCCACCTGATGAAAGAACATTGTGCCGTTTTACAAAGATGGCGTGATACCTGAAGTGTGAGTGAGCAAAATCTGCGTGTTGATTTTAGTGTTTTGAGAAACTTTTTACAAAAATTAATATTTTGATAATGAGGATTTGGCAAGTACCTGAGTAAGTATTATTCGATTTTTCTCTTGAATGTTTAGTGCAAAAATGTCATTGAGTGCAATTCACACATTTTTTATTTTTATTAGAAAAGTGATGAAAATGCAAGTTATTATTTATATTATTTGAAAGCCAATAACAAACCAAAACGTAAACAGAACAGACAAAAAAAAAGTTTCAAATTTACCAGTTTCATTCACATTTATATCCTGGCAGAGATATTACCTGTACAATGTTGTCACGTTCTTGAAATTTTTCTAAATATAAATTTTGCGATAACTCTGAAAATACTAACAAATGACCCATGGTCAATAGGACACTTTTAGCTTGAAATGGGCCATATTATCTCATGTTAAAATATTTGTACTCATATGTGATACACCCTGTAGTTTACAATTAACAAAATTGTTAGGCAAAATAAAATAGATTGAATTATTGCCTACAAAAATACTCAATACATACTTAATTAATCTCAAAATTTAACCTACACCGTATTCAAGCTCTTCTTAAACCTGCATAGCGAGATATCAAATATTTCCAGATGGTGAAAATTTATGAGTCTACAATACCTATCAACTGGAGAATTAAAGCCATATAGTTTGCTCTATGAAATAGATTGTAGAAGGAAGAGAATTCTTGCCAACTATTTCTTGTAGCTATTTCAATATTTATACATTGCAACAAATCGGAAGAATTAATTTTACCATCAACTAATCTATAAACAAATATCAAACCAGAAAAGGTTCTTCTATCCCTCAGAGTATAAAGTCTGTTTTTTTTTCAAAGATAATTCTCAGTCAAAAATTTAGTAACTATGTTGGCAATACAAGCCCTTTCTACATAATTAATTGGAAGCATTGACAATTTTACATTGTATTGCCAACATAATGTCATTTTGAGCTTTATCTTTAAAAAAAAAACACACTTTACAAACAAATTAAGCTGTTTCTCTAAGGGCCATATTCTCCGTAGTTCATAAAGCCTGGCTTAGTGGAAAAGCTCGGCTTTGTCACACAAAAAGCCAAGCTTTTCCACTAAGCCAGGCTTTATGAACTACGGAGAATACGGCCCTAAATAACTATAATTATGGTCCTGAATTGCAACCCTTCATTTAAATGCGCAAAAACGTAAGAACCTGTGCTGAACTTTTTCCACTGCATATTGATGAGTATCCTGATATGGAGACCACACCATTGAGGCATACTCCAGCGTTGACCTTACTAATGAACAATGAATTCCTCTAATAGTGTCAACAGAGAAGTGGATGCTTCTTGTTTCAAAACAAGGGGACTTTTGATGATTTTACTGATATTGTATGTCAGGAAAAGTTAGACCTTCATCCAAAATCACTCCCACATCCCTTATTTTAGAAACTTAACTTAACCTAAATGGCAAGTCCGTTAATAAACATAAAAAAAAAGCTTTCCCTCTCAAGGAGTATGAAATGTTGAATTTTTTTATACCTTTAAAAACAGTTATCTGACAACAAGTTTAAGTTTAATTTATGAATTGAACACCAATTTGTCAATCTATCCAAATCGTTCTGTAACAATTATTGTTGGTCTTCCATATCATTTATAGTCCTTAAAACTTTTAAGTCATCAGCAAAAGCTAGTCCAACACTAAATTGAAAACAATCGAAGATAGAATTGACAAATAAGACAGAAAATCAGGGTGAACAGTGTCCTGAGGTAAAAGTGATTGTGTCAGACTGAAAAGAACCTACTTTTACTGATTGATGATGTCCTGGTAAATGACTTCTGATTCAGGCTACTGCATCTGCGCCGAATTCCACTCCAAAAAGACTTTTAAGAAAAATACAGTGTTCTACCTTATCAAACGCCTTGAAAAAGTCTGTGTAAATCGCATCAACTTGTTTAAAATCCTTCAAGGCTTTGATTATATTATTATTATTGTACACAGTCATTAAAAAATAAACTATAGTTGTTTTACTGACTAGGAGGGAAGAGATTTTGCTAAGATACTTTAGGTTTGTCAGTTTGTGTGTTAAGGTGCACAAGTCTTGTTAAAGTCCTGAAGGTCCAGCACAATTCTGCGCAAAGCCTAAAATTTGTGCATAGAGTTTGAAATTCGTATACAGAGTGGTTTTGAAACCGTTTATGGGTTAGTTTTTGACACGTTGGAGGAACATACCTAATAAAAATGACTTCTGTTTTTTTTGAGTTTTTTTAGTTCAACTGAATTCAACCCCAAAGGAAAGAAACAAATAAAAATTATATTTACAGATAGTTTGAAAGTTTAAATGAAAGCTGGAACAAGGTTGGTAGGTAGGTATTAAGAAATATCATGAATTCTAAAGTTATTCAAATAAATAAAGATTCCACAAAACCAAGCACAAAAACGACAAAAAAAAATACTGCAGTATGAATTTGGTTAATCTAGAAAGAGATCCAGAGAGCCAAGCAGAAAAATTCTTTTTCTCTGCATAACACCAGTCCTGTATTAAAATCCTTTTGAAATACTGTATATTCCTGTTGAAGTACTGTATAGGCCTGTTCGAGGACCTGATGAAGTACTGTGTGGTTCTGTTGAAATACTGTATGGTCCTGCATAGACCTATTTAAGTCTTATAGGGTACTGGTTGAAGTCCTGTTCAAAAATTTGTACACCAACTGTGGACACTACGAAAGAAACCTCTTGAGAGCTTGAGGCATATTTATATATTTTCATGATATGAACTCTGCATGATTTTATGTATGCTTCTGTTTTGTGTGCAGCATAAATAAAGTTCATTTTTAGTTTATTTTATTTATAAATAATAATATGCAGGATATGTTTTTTTTCACATAAAAGTTCCTTTAAAAATTATATCTCTACCCCTCGGCCTCAAACCTATTGGGACAATTTAATACACACAAATCTATCTTGCAAAATAGGAGCATTCTAGGCAACAGAAATCAACACCAACAATTCTGTAAATCATGCTAAAGCTTCAATTTATTAATCGTTAATCATTTTTGACCCTCATAGGCAAAAACAAGCTTCAAACCTTGCTGTTTGCCTTTTGTACTGTAAGCCATTCTAGAAGCTTTCCACCTGCTACCACCCCCACTCAAAAATGCCCTCGAATTCCTGAAAATAATTCCAAAACCCTTCAAATTGATTACAACTTAAAAAACTTAGAATTACAAATGGGTATATTATTCAAATAAAATGGCTCCAAGTGATGCAAGGTACAAAGCCAATTTCTTTATCTTCAATTGGCATGTGGCATGATGCTTTCATTAGAAATACTTAATTTATCAAGAAATTGTGCTTTAAGTATTTTTTGATAGGAGACTGATATAAATTTCAAGGAAGAACCTCTTGGTTGGGAGGTAATGAGGCTTTGCAATGGAGGTGGTAAGTTGTCCATCCATAGCCTCCTCGTCAAATGGGCTGGAACCATGGAAATTTTACACAATTTTGCTAAATGAATCGAACCAAATCAATGCAAATGGAACAGGTAACAATAAATCCATATAAATATCAGAAAAAAAGCCAACTATAAAGTGTGAAACACGTTGGAAAGTTATAGTTTTCAAACATTTTCTTTGCCATGGCAATTCGGACTCTCGTAAAAGGATGGAAATTTAACGATTTTCGCTTACCTCGGCCGGGTTTTTGCCCCTTTTTTCGAGTTCCACGCGTTTCTCCATCTTAGAACAATCTCCCGATCACGTAAAACACATGAAACGACAAAAATACGCGGATTTTTTTATGTTTGTGTATCAATTCGGAAAGCGGAAAAACGTAAAAGACGGCCGCCAACCAAGATTACCAATATTGCCTGGATGGTACGCATGCGCAAGAAGCCATATCCTTTAAATGGTTAATTAATAGGTTTTCTATTTCCCTCTTCTTTTTTATGTATGGGTTAGAAAGAGATGCAAATATAATCGGGCTTGTTTAGTTGTCAAACGATTATTGCTGCAGATTTCTGCTATATCAACTTGCCAGCTCAAGAAAGAACGCTTTTCGTTTGTGATCGAAATTTGAATTGTTTTTAGGTAAATTTCTATTTAATTTTAAGTTGGAAATGTTGATTGAAGCTTTCAGTTTGATTGGTATTAAGGTGAACTTACTACAGACTATTATTTAACTAGTGCAAAAGTGAAAAATGTCGCTTATTTAAAAAAAGCTCAATCAAAGCGAATCCATTCACCCATTTGACAAATCAAGAATTAAGCGGTACGTTCGAAAACGTGGTTGTTGTACGAAAATTATTTCCGAGCGGTGAAAAACCCGGTCTGGTTTTTTGTTTTTTATGGAAGTAATGAAGTAAATTAATTCTTTGGCTGCATGAGAATTATTTTTCGAGGCCGGGTCGCGTCAAGTAGCTGTTTTCTCGCGTTCACTTTTTTGAAACTGGTTCAAAATAGGTTTGAGAGGATACACTTGACCAATCAACACCGGTACGCATTTTCCTATTGTCTCGCGATGAACCCATGACGTCACATCAAAATTGGTTAAAACCGTTTCGAAAAACAATCCAATCCAAAGCCAATTTTAAGCGAATGACCAGTCGGTCATCTTGACACATAATGCATTTAACGTCAGTTAAGACCAATTGGTTGACAAATGACGCTTAATTAATGGTTTATTTGTCAAGACAACCTATCGGTCTATCGCTTAAAATTGGCTCAAGTATTCAAACCATTCTCGTGCCAAGAAGTTATGACGTCATGTGACACTGTTTCAAACTAGTTTTGAAAAACGTTTTAAAACATTTGAGACGCGAGAAAAAACCTATGTTTATGAAATTTTCGTCTCGCAAGAGAGACAAAAGTGAATGTCTGTAATGAGAAAGAACAAGAGAGAAATGAAATATATAATTAATTGAATAAAGAGAAGGAAAGCCTAGTTTTATTTAACTTCAGTCATATCAATTCTCATTTTTGCGTGACGTCACCTTAGGACGTCACTACAGATGCTCATTTGATGTCAACCAATATTTTCTCACTGGTCTTTTAAAAATTCTCTTCCTACCCAAAAAAATCTAATTTTGTAATTTTTGATGTGAATACTAATTTATCTGCATAAGAGTCAAGGTGGCCAAGGTGGTTTGAGAGAAGTAGGTTGCCATAACTTTATGACGTCATCCGGGGTGCCTCAACACTCAACATAATGCAAATCTCCATAAAGCACCCCAGATGCGTCATCAAGTTACCCATTACCAGGCAACCTATTAATTTTAGAAACCTTGCATGAGAGTGATCTTTCAAGGCCGCCTGAAGGATTCATCGATATTCATAGGTATCGATACGACCTCCCCCTTCACATCAGACCAAAACACTTTTTCCTCAATTTTTCTACATTTCTATTTTCCTCTCCAGTTAATGCTCAATTTTTCCCGCTCAATTTTTGTCTATTCCCAAATCCCAACGTTTGAATTTCTCAAAAAAAAAAAAATCAGGAGCCTGCAATAGAAAAAATATGGATGTTCACTTATCTACTAGTTTTTTCTCAATTTTTTTTTACATTTCTTACACTCTTGAATTGACTTGTCTCGTAATACCTGAATCGGCGCGCGCAGCCTGTGACAAACAGGTGAGAAAGGTAAGTTTGTTACGGGCTTGCATCATATTTCTTTGATTCTATTCAGAGTGAGTCCAGAATTAATCGTTCCTTCTTTCCTTGTAACGTGTAATCAATGAACTATAACCAATAAAAACTGGAATGCTAACACATAAGGACGAACTTGAAGCCTAGTGCGGCTGCCAGCGAGCAACAGAAAAAAACAACATTCCCCCTTGTGGCATCTGTCTTTCATGGCTTCATTTTTTTGGCAGATATGGCAATGTGTGCGCATTCTAGTTTTTAGCTATAGTTCATTGCGTGTAATAGACCTATCTATTTTTACCTGGTATGCGCACGCAACACGAGGCAATGCCTTTTTAATGGCTAACTAGTACAGGTGTGAGGTGATCGTTTTGCGTGCTGAGCATCTCCTTGTCCTTGTTCATTGCCCGTGGTCTGACAAGAATAAACGTACAGTTGATATTCAACTTGACAAGTGTCATTCAAAAGTTGTTTGAAATTTTCATTGACAAATACGTTGCACAACACGCGGTCTTTCTCCTTCCCTTTTTACCCCGTGCAAATAAGAAGGACGGATTGCTATACGTAAGTCTAACATAATTTGGTACGTTTTGCCTCGTCTTGCGCAATGAGCATTACTGTGTCTTTTTTTATCTAATGAAGTTTTCGTATTATTACCTCTTTGTCTGGTAAAATAGATAGGTCTATTCGACAAAGAGCAAACTAATGGCGTTTCCGATTGGTAGATTCAGTGCGCACTGAGTGTATTTGCATCCTTTTAATCAACCTGTAGAAGAGAAAGACAGAAATAGAAAAAATTGCACTAGTTCCGCACTAGATCTACCAATCGGAAACGCCATAAATACTCTACGTATTACTACTTGAACTCACCGCGATGCTGCCGGATGAAGATGAAACATTTATCAATTACACTAGAGCCCAATGACATCATTACGTTTTACTAGTGAAATGACTGAAATGTCATTGCTACAGCAACGAATTGGCCACGAGTTGAGCCTTGTACTCATAACTGCGAAATTCGCACTTTTTTGACATTGCTTCGACAATTTGACGTTTTATGCGTGAATTAAACGTCAAATTGTCGAAGCAATGTCAAAAAAATGCGAATTTCGCAGTTATGACTACTAGGCTTTGCGCGCGCATGTCATCTTTCATTACTTTCTAAGGCCGTGTTTATGTTGGAGCTGTGATAAACGATAAGAGCAACGATACTAATGATACTTTAGGTTCGTTCCAACCCCCCGTTTTCGTATCGTCATGAAACGGTTTCGGAACTGTTAGGATCGATTGCCGGCGCATGCGTTGACCTTGCACGGTTTTATCTTGGTACAGAAACAACGGGTAGTTGGAACGGTTTCATGATCGTTTTCGTAATGACGACAGTTCAAATAACTTTAACCGAGACTTTAACCCTAAATTTGTTTGTTTGCAAATTAAAATAGAAGAATATAGGATTAGGATTACAAAATAATATATAAAAAAGGAAAATCGAACACCAACGCTGATTCATTATCAAGAATCTAAAACTGAATCCTTGCAAGCTGATAACATCAAGGATTAGCAAATAGCTGATAATAAATTTTGTACTTTTATTCACTTGAAAAAATAAAAATGCTACAGTTTTATAAGTTAGATTGGAAATTGGTTGTTTAACAACAACATGAACAACAAAAACAGGTGACAAAAATTGAATTACGCATGTCAGTCATGAATCAGTCCACGCGGTTCTTGCTTTCCACTCGGGATCGAAATGACGGTGCTAAAACCAGTTCTCGAACGATCCCAGGTTTGGTTGGAACGCCAACGAAACTGTACGGTAAACGATCATCTCTCGGTTGGAACGCATTTAACCTATGGCGCATGACCGTGACCGTACATTGTACGGTTTTTGGCTGGGTTGGAACGAACCTTTTACATTAGTATCGTTGCTTTTATCGTGTATCACAGCTCCAACATAAACACGACCTTACTTGTGTCGATTAAAGGCGATTAACCAGTCGGTTATATTGACAGATAAACGATGCATTTAACGTCATTTATAACCGATTGGTTGACAAATGACGTTTGCTTCATTGATTATCTGTCAACTATGACCGACCGGTTAATCGCCTTTAATCGATGTTGTATTTATTACAATTCTTTTTTTCTATCTCTGCGAGACACGTCGATTATCGGAATAAAGAAAATTCAAGATCTTGTATAATAGACATAAAGTAGTGTGTTTTTTTTTTTAAAGATAAAAGTCAAAATGACATTTTGTTGGCAATATACAATGTAAAATTGTCAATGCTTTCAAATTTTTTATGTAGAAAAGGCTTGTGTTGCCAACATAGTTAAAATCTGTTTTTTTTTTAAAGATAATTCCCCAAGTCAAAAATTTAGTAACTATGTTGGCAACACAAGCCTTTTCTACATGAAAAATTTGAAAGCATTGACAATTTTACATTGTATTGCCAACCTAATGTCAGTTTGACTTTTATCTTTAAAAAAAAAAACGCACTTTACTAAATTTTTGACTTGGGGAATTATCTTTAAAAAAAAAAACAGATTTTAACAGCTCCTGTAAAAAAAAGATGTCCCAAAATGGACGACCACCCGTCACCTTTATCTTCTTTTTCTCCGTGTGTATAGCAGTATTTACTGTATTCCTTTTACCCGTTGAGTTACTCGGATCTGCTCAATGTCAAAAGTTTGAACATTCCTTTCAAAAGTGCGTTAAGCACTCGAGTCGCTCATAGTGCATCCCCTTTTACCCTGATGCACCAAATTCGCGGGGGGTGCAAGAAGCCCTTTTAGGTAAGGACGGCAATGTTAATATTGGAAAATAATGATAAATCTGAATTGTGTGTTTTGGAGTGACTCCGAGGAGCTCGTTCGGTGTAACTCGATATATAAAAGGAATACAGTAATTAATGTCAGTACTGTGGGCTGAGATCATGACGAATAGAATTCGACTAGAATTCTACTTTCATGACGTCAGGTTGCCTAGCAACCATCATCATCGCCTGTACTCTACGCGATAAATGATGAGTCGCGGGTGACGTCAAGAGCAGAATTCTAATCGTCGTGATCTCAGCCAAGATTAATCATAAGGATGATACCCAATGAACTATAGCTAAAAACTGGAATGCGCACACATTGCCATATCTGCCAAAAAAATGAAGCCATGAAAGACAGATGCCACAAGGGGGAATGTTGTTTTTTTCTGTTGCTCGCTGACATATGACGTTTTCGAAAGTTTTGTCATATTTCCCTTCACAGGTTTCATCAATTGGAATACGTGTTGGAAGCAATTTTCGCCATTTAACATAATGAGTGCGACAAAAACAGGTATCCCCTCCGCAGCAGCCGCACTAGGCTTCAAGTTCGTCCTTATGTGTTAGCATTCCAGTTTTTGGTTATAGTTCATTGATGATACCTTTGAATATAAAACTACAGGAAGGAGCGTTTTCTATCTGTCACTACAGACAACGAAGGGACGGAAACGGCCATATTGAGTCTCCAAGTTTGGACACATCATTTGTTTTGGTGGTTCCCTGTGTCCTCATTTAAGTGGATGTTTAATGGATTTTAGCAGTTTTAAGTGATGATAAGTACTGGAATTAGTGAGAAAAGAGTGAGTCATAATATTGACAATCATATTTAAATAAATATACGCCACTGCCAAACCGGAAATACTAGTCGGCCATATATGCAACCTCCACATATTTTGGTCGCGCAGATTCGAAGTTATCGCTCCTTCCTGTAGTTTTATATTCAAAGGATGATACACACTACTACTACAGGATTGCCTATCCTCATAAGGCCTGTGTGCAACAAATCCCCCCTTCCCCCCAATGCCAAATCCCCAGTTGTGACGTAGACAGCATGTTATTTCTCGCCTTGACGTAGAATGTTTAAACAGCTATGAGCTTACAATTTAGTTATGACGTCGGAAATGATGACACACCAATATGGCGGCCATTACCAAAAACGAGGCCGATATGCAATCCTGTAGGTGTGTATCATTCTTGCTGTTTAATGATTGTTTCCACCAGTCGCAATCTTTTTTCTCTTTTGCGTACGACCTAAAGGTGGTTCTAGTTCTACACTTGGAAAAGTAAAAAACATGAATGTCTTCTTATCTACCAATTTTTTGCAATTTTTCTTTCATTTCTCCTCTATTTCTCAACTTTTCCACCTCAATTTTTAATTTTTGTTTAATCGCGGTTCTAAAATTTGTCGAAATAAAGACAATTTACGAGCTTGTAACAGAAAAAAAATGAATGTCCACAGTCAAGGTTCCTGAATTTAATAGGTTGTCTGGTAACGGGTAACCTGATGACGCATCTGGGGTGCCTTATGAAGTTTTGCATAATGTCGAAGGATACAGATGACGTCATAAAAGTTATCAGGCAACCTCCCTCTTGTTTTAAACAACCTTGGTCCACAGCTACAATTTTTGTCTCTCCATTCTTCAATTTTTGTTTATTTCCGGTTCTTGGGTTTATCGGAATAATATTAAAGAAAATTGAAAAGTCTGGAATGAAAAATACATAAATGCTCTCTTATCAGTCTTATCTACCAAAAAATTCAAGAGCCTGGAATAGAAAAATAACATCAATGACGTTTCATCTATCATTTCTTGCTCAATTTTTCTTACATTTCTCCTCTATTTCTCAATTTTTATCTTTTTTCTGCTCTTGAATTTTCGTTATTTTCTAAATGTTTCAGAGAAATTAGGGATAAATAGAAACAAAATACGAGACATCGTCTATATTCTTCTTGAATTTCTTCTCTCTGTCTCCCAATTTTCCAGCTCAATTTGGGTCTATTCCTGGCTGTTGAATTCATCGAAATGAAGAAAATTCAAGAGCAAATATGAATACATATCGATATAACAAATCCGTATCGATAAGCCCTACCACCCCTACTCTAGATCGAGTCACAATCTCGTCACGGTTTATGAAGCTTTCAACTCGCAAGAGAGAAAAAGTATGTGACTTTAATGAGAAAGAGAGAGAGGGTAAAACTTTAGGATTTTCAACACTCCAAGTTTCCGCATTACAATACCGAGTTCTCGAACGCAACCCTGGAACGTCAAAACCCAATTCTGTCTGTCAAATGGTTGTCAGCGTCAGCTAGTGTCAAAAAGGGAAAGATATGAAAACATTCTATCTGAAAGTGTAATATTTTATTTCTAAGTTATAATTTTTTTGAAAAAAAACTTAATTTTCTTCTAACAAACATGTGCAAATATTGTCTTATATTAGTGTAACGTTCAATCGTCAATCAAGTGATCGGTTTTTCAACGATTTGGCCTCTTCCTTATGCAACACTAGCTTAGGCAAGTAGAAGGTACACCATTTATTTTGATGAAGGTTAATACTTTATTGAAAAATCTTCCTCCACAGATTTAGCCTAATTACTTCCTCCATATAGTTATAAGGTATATTACAAGCTAACGTTTATGTTACAAGCTTTAAAAGCACATGGAATATGGCAAAATTGCTAGTCGTAACCCGACCCTATGGTCTGTAACCTTCCAGTGTTCCATTTTTTTTTGTGTTCTCCATTTCCTATTAGGCTCCCATGGTTTTTTAAAAAAAGTGTGTTGGAGGAAGAGAACAAAATTAAAGTTAAGCACAAATAAAATCAAGTGCTTCCATATTTTTGGTTTAGAAAGGAACAATGAACTTATAATAGAGCTATGTTTTCTACGAGGTTTTCTAATATTATTATGATCAATGAACTAGTTTGATTTATTGGTTGTATTTTATTAGATAATATGGTGCATGAGCTTTGGTTATCGGTTTTCAAGGTAAATTGCTGTGGCAAAATTAAACAAAACAAAAATTAGGCGAGACCTTCAGAATATATACAATACCTAATATTTGTTAACTAATTTAGATTAAAACCTCTGACCTTTTTTTTTGTTGTTAATGTTCGATTCGTGTTTGAACTTGAAATTGTTTTTGGTCGAAAATTTTTCTCAACTTATCTCATATTGCAAACATGTTTGAGATTACAATAAAATGCGGTAGCACTCTCAAGGTTTTTATATATTTTTGCAAATAAAGCTTCAGATAAGTTGAGAAGCTCATTTCTTAGATCTTAAGTCTTTTGAATAAAAATTAATTTATTTGATAAGTATGAGTGGATTAAAAAAAAAACTTCAAGGCCTTCATCAAGGCTCAAGTTGAGTTCAAGGTGGATCCTGAAACTACCTTGGACAAGGAAATAGATATTATACTTAATACTGGGTATAAAAATCTAATATTCTTAATATTAACATGACTGTGTAGAGATTTTTGGATGCCCAGGGTCAAATGTCATTGTTATTTTAATTTGTAGGTAAATAAAAGTGGGTATAAATTACAAATGCTTATTAACTTATAACCCTGGTATTTATCAAAATTTCTATCGTTTCATTATTTGGTAACTTTCAATAATTATTGTGCGACATATAAGCTGTTGGAGGTCCTTAGTGTTGGTCTATTTCTTATGCAATGAAGACATACAAAGAAATCGCAATTGTAGAGAAAATAAGGGAAACTCAAGAGCTAGGAATAAGATAATAGAGAAACTTCAACAGTTTGGAATACAACAGGCTCTTGAATTCCATTTTTTTTTCTGAATAAAACGTACAGAAAATAATTAAATAAAAATCAATTATTATTATTGGAACTACAATAGCAGGCTCTTGAAACAGATGAAGCTATTGTTACTTTAGCAAAATTTTAAAAGGATATGTGAGATTTAGTTTATGCACCATAATGAATTATTCTTTCTGAGTATTCTTTCAATTCTCTGTCAACACGATTTTAAAAAATATTAGTGTTTGGTGCTGAGACTGTATTTTGGCAAAGCAAATTCCAAGAATGCACTACATGGTTTACTATAAAGTTTTTCCTAGGAAGTTTTCATGATCTTTCATTTTCAAGCTTTTACAGTTACTGATAGTAATCACTGATTATTTTGTAGGCTCTTCTCAAGAAGTTCTATATCCTTAATGTAATATAGATTCCACATAGTATAAGCATATTCTATTTTTAGCCTTATACAGGGAGTTTCAGAGATAGCGTTACAAACTTCAAGGACGGATAGAACTCATCAAAATAAGAAAAAAAGTTCCTATGAATATGGGTCCGGAAACGTTTCGTTTCTGAGGTATTGGAGCTAAAAATTCAAGAAAATAAAATGTTTTTTGATATCATATTTCTCAATTTCTAAGATAAATATCTCAAATTTTCAACAGAGCGTATATCCTTAGTTCTTTTTCAAAAATGGTCATATTTTTTACAATAAATCAAGGGGTTGGTCTTTTTTGGGGGATGACACCACCCAAAACCACCTTTAGTTTTTTATCTGTACATTTTTTTTTTTTTTTTTTTGAGCCACTAGCTTCTCCGTTTCATTGCAAAGGTTTTTGGTATCTTGCAATTTTTTGGTATCTCAAACAGTTTTGGCGATGTTTTCCAAAAAAGACAAAACATCCCTTCATTTATCGTGGAGATTATTGCCATTTTTGAAAAAGAACAAAATAATATCTCTGTACTAAACTTCTGAGGAAATTTCAGCTATTTGCCTATTTATCTTAAAAATTTAGAAATACAATACAAAAAAATTATATATATATTTTTTTAAATTTCCATCACTAATAATCAGGCCTATGATGTATCCTGTCCTGTTATTTTAACAGTTCTGTTATAGCTCAAAATCTATACCTGTCTCTATTTTTACGTGTAGAATAAACAGTGACAGATAACTCAACGTTGCTGTTAAAATAACAGAAAATGATACATCATAAGCCTGAATAATACCTCGGAAACGAAACGTTTCCGGACCAATATTTATGGGAACTTTTTTTCTTATTTGATGAGTTACTTCCACCCTTAAAGTTTGAAACACTATTTCTGAAACATCCTGTATAGCTTTTGTAGATATCATCTTGATGGAGTGGTATCTAAAAGCATGGTTAATTTAGTGTAGGAGTTAGCTTTTTTAGTTACTTTAATTATGTGATTCTCCCACTTCAAGTCGGTTGTTACTACAACTCCCAGATCATTTTGTTCATTTACTGATGTCAAAGCAGAGTCATTGAGAATATAGTCTTTCTTAGGGTGGACCAATCCTTAGTACTGTGCATTTTTAGGAGTTCAATTTCATTCCCCATGTTTTTGACCACTCTTTAATGTTCTTAAAATCAGTTTGAAGTAAATCTGCATTTATCAAAGGATTTGCATAGATTTTGCAATCATCTGCAAACAATTTCACACTTGATTGGATTGGATTGGATTGGGTTACTGATTGGTTCTCAGCGAATAAATTGAGTATGAATGAATCAAAAAATAGCACCCTAGTAATATCCACGAGGGAATTTGAATTGCTACATAATGAGCCAGTTACGTTCCTGGGGGTGAGTATTGACGCAAAGTTGACATGGATTCCACATGTCAATAACATATGTGCCAAAGTGGCGTCAGGAGTCTATGCACTCAGAACAATGATGGAGAGTGTTTCCGAGCAAGCAGCACGGGCCATCTTTTTTGCTTGTGTCCAGTCAAAAATATCATATGGAATTCTGGTCTGGGGACATGCAGCAGAAGCGCAAAGAGTCTTTGCACTTCAGAGGAGGGCGATTCGAATATTGTGTCATAGAACTTATCGAGCGGAGTGTAGGAATGACTTTGTGAAATCAAAGGTATTAACAGTGCCTTCCTTATATGTCTATCATTGTCTGATTCATGTTAGGTGTAATGTCAATGATTACCAGACCCATGAGGACATACACCAACATCTCACCAGGAATAGGGACAACCTCTATACAAACTTTCATAGAATTCATAAAATAAAAACGGGAATTTCCTTCTATGGCCCCAAATTCTATAATATGTTACCAACCTCCATTAGAATGCTAAATTTGAATTGTTTCAAAAATAAAATTAAAAATTATTTAATAATGAATGAATGAATTTCCTCATTCTTGACAAAAGAAAAACATGATGAGGGCCAGAAATAAAAAAAGAGATTATTCAAAATTCTGGAATAGAAAATTTAAAAAATATAGATGAGAAAAAAAAAAAAAATTCAGTAATAAAGAAAATTCAAGAATAAGAAAATATTTATAAGGCAAATTTAAGAGCCTAGAATGAAAAAATCCCACTAAATAATTCATAAGTTTTACAGAAAGAAGCAGAGAGTTCGGGTGTAAATTTTATTCAAACTTTTCTAGTAGGTATATCAGATGACTTTCTATATGTGTTTCTTCCTACAAATTTTTTTTTGCTCTGCAACCTTGTCTGTCTGTATAATCAATCTGCTAGTTCAGTTTTGACTTGAGGGATATTCTCTGGGCTAAGAAGGCATTTTTGTGAACAGAGATTTAACAAAACTTATGGTAAACCCGAGGGTCACTGATGTAAAATGACGATCATTTAAAATCGTGACGGTCATTTGCGTCATGACATGTCATGACGGTCATGATCATGGTCATAGTTCATAGTAATTATTTCAATTTAGAACGCCACTACCCACAGTCTATGGTCTTTAAACTCACAAATGGGTTTAAAATAGGGACAGTCAATTATTGATTGAGTTTTGACAAATAATTGAGGATTTCAGAACAGAAGAAATTTCAACAAATAACAAATAAAATAACAAAAATAATAGCTTTTCACCTAACAAATGCAGTAAGTGATACTTCACCGCATTCAAAATTATACCTATGAGCATCTATCTCCAAAAAAAGGCATTTTTGAAATTTCTGAACGAGAAGGGATTTTTGAGAGTACCTGAACACCGAATCTACTTTACCGCATACTATGCAGTCTACTTTACTACTGCACATTTACACACTATGCAGTAAAACGGTCATGACTAACGGTCACATTGAATGTGACATGACGGTCATGACCCGCCGTCATGCGCGCTGGTCATGACTCACTAACATCACTGCCGAGGGTAAACCCCAAATTGTTCTGTCTTGGAAATTTTATGAAAAATTATTTTCTTCTAGGCTGTCTGTAGTTGTCACCGTGGTAAAAATTCAAGTAGTTTTTTGTCAAAATTATTATTATTCCAGGGGAACATTTGATTGAAGCTTACATACATATTTTTAGGAATCTCCTGAACTTTTTTTAAATTTAACAATGGGTGATTGTGAATCAAAAGAGTGAGGAATAAAATTATTATTACTTATTATTATCATCCATTGAGCAACAGGAAGCGGTGAGACACCGATGAGTCTATTGCTTGTTATTGTTTGGCAAAGTCTCTAAAAATTCTGATTTTGTTATCACTTTTTGTTACAGGTAGTGAACCAGTGTGTTGAGGAAGCTTGTTAAATTTTTATCTAC